CTTGCCCTGGGCTGCTCCAACCAAACACTGGCCACAGTAGGGGACCAGCACAGGGCAGCCTGTGACACAGGACTCCACTGACAACATTTGCCCTGTGACTCCCTATTATCTTAGCTGAGACTTTCTAAGAACACTGCTTTGACCTAAAGTTGTTCCAAAATCATTCTTTCTTCAACTCTTCTAACAGGGGTTAAATTTATGTCATGGTCTTAAGACCCCCTCGACTTACTCCTTTTTTCGTCCTCCTTACCCTTCACAAGCATTGCTCCCAATAAATCTTTTGCACACTCAATCCCATCTTGGGTTTCTTCCCCTAAGAAGACCAGAACTGACAGTACAAGAGAAGTTCAACACAAGAGGTGATAACATGGGATCTGGCAACTGGCTCACTCATCACCCAACCGGCAAAGAGCCCTGAGTGGACTATGGCACAAGAATAATGTTTTGCACAAGGTGGGAGCCCAATGCTGATGATTTCCCAGTGGTGATCTGGGAAATGACTGTTTGAGGACGACACTGTGGTATAATAATTCAGGCATTTGAAAAATATGCTATAAGGGTAGGCAAGACAGTGTACTGATAAAAGGATCAATTTACCAGGAGGATACCAAAATGCTAAATTTGAACACACCAGTAGTATAGTCCACTATATAGTCTATTTTTAAAATATAAAAGGGAAAATTGACAGAATTATAAAGAGAAGTTGGCAAATCCACAATCACAGAGGGAGCTTTTGACATCTTTCATGACAGATTGTAGTAACAATAGTCAATAATTTAAAGGCTAGGGGCACCTGGGTGGCTCAGTCGGTTGAGTGTCCAACTTTGGTTCAGGTCATGATCTTGCAGTCCATGAGTTTGAGCCCCATGGTCAGGCTCTGTGCTGACAGCTCAGAGCCTGGAGCCTGCTTCAGATTCTGTGTCTCTGTCTCTCTCTGCCCCACCCCTGTCTCTTTGCCTCTCTCTCAAAAATAAATAAACATTAAAAAAATTTTTAATAATAATTTAAAAGCTAATTGTTGGGATGCCTGGGTGGCTCAGTCAGTTAAGCACCCAACTCTTGATTTCAGCTCAGGTCATGAAATAAGGGTCGTAGGATCGAGCCCCATGTCAGGCTCCACGCTGAGCATGGCGTGGAGCCTGCTTAAGATTCTCTCTGCCCCTCCCCAACTCATGCTTGCTCTCTCTAAAAATAAATAAATAAATAAATAAATAAATAAATAAATAAATAAATTTTTAATAAAGGCTAATGGCTGATTGCTTATTAGGTACCAGGCAGTTTTATAAGTACTTGACATATTTTAATTCATTTATTCTTCACAATAACCCTATGATATAGGAACTAATGTTGCTTCTGTCACAGTTGAGGAAACTGGGGCAAGAGAGGTTAAGAAAATTGTCCAGAAAGGGATGAAGCCAAAATTGGTAAAGGGGAGTTACAGAATGAATAAGTCACAGGGATGAAAACCACAGCATAGGGAATATAGTTAATGGTATTGTAATAGTGTTGTATGGTGACAGATGACAGCTACACTTGTGAGCACAGCAGAACATACAGAGTTGCTGAATCACTATGTTGTACACCTGAAACTAATGTAACATTGTGTGTCAACTATACTTCAATTAAAAAAAGAGAGAGAAAAAGAACATTGTCCAAAGTTAACTAGTTAAGTAGCAGAACCAAGATTCAAACCCAGACAGTTTGCTTAGATTTCTCCTATTTTCTTATGCATGTAAAAAGATGTGTATCTGACAAAACTATGAAGACAATAAAAAGATCAGCAATGGGGGACAGGGATGAGCAGGCAGAGCACAGAATTTTTAGGGCAGTGAAAATTCTCTGTATGATATTGTAATGATGGATACATGTCATTATACATTTGTCCAAAACTACAGAATATACATTCCTAGAGTGAACCCTAAGGTAAACTATGGGCTTTGGGTGATAATGATGTGTCAATGTAGGTTCACTCTTGGTTTAAAAAAAGCACCATTCTGTTGAGTGATGTTGACGATAGGGGAGGCTATGCATATCATGTGTGTAAGGGCAGAGGGTATATGGGAAATCTCTGTACCTTCCTCTCAATTAAACTTAAAAATTGATCTTAAAAAATAAGTCTTCATTTAGAAAAAAAAAGATGTTTCTCTTATTTTATCCAGCATTTCTTTGTATCTTGCAATAGGAGGATTTTTTGGTTATCTTGTCCTACATAGGCTGGAAATACAAGTACTAACAACTGCTTTACCCTTAAATTTTATCTTTTTTTCTGCAATTATTTCAAATGGGCCTCTGCCTTGTTTAGGCTGTTTCAAATCACAGGCCTAAATATTTTTGTATTACAGTGTTTAGGTGACTAAGACATGACCCTTATCTTCGAGATGGTTGGTCTTATTGGAGGGCACAGGCAGTAACTGAAAATAATACCTTTTGAAAATGATAACAGTAGTGACATGTGAGACAAATGACTTACACATAGTAGGGTGTGATCAACTCTTCTATAGAGGGTGGCCCAAAAAGGCTCATCTCAGAGGAGGTGATACTTATAAAAACAAAACAAAAACCTCTTTTTCCCCCTAATCATAATAATATACAATTATTTTTAAAAATTGAATACAAAAATTGTGAAGAAAAAAGTAAAAAGGTAATTTAACTCCAGTCATCCATAAATAACCATTATTGACCTTTTTTTTAAAGTTTATTTATTTTGAGAGTGTGCAAGCAGGGTAAGGGTAAAGAGAAAGGGAAAGAGAATCCCAAGCAGGCTCCACACTGTCAGTGTAGAGCCCAATAAGGGGCTTGAATTCATGAGCCATGAGATCATGACTCAAGCTGAATCCAAGTCAGAGTTTAACTGACTGAGTCACCCAAGTGCCACTACCATTATTAACATTTTATTGAAGAAGTCAAGGGGCACCTGGGTGGTTCAGTCAGTTAAGTGCTGGACTTCGTCTCAGGTCATGATCTCAGTCTATGAGTTCAAGCCCCACATTGGGCTCTGTGCTGACAGCTCAAAGCCTGGAGTCCACTTCAGATTCTGTGTCTACCCCCTCCCTCACTCACGCTCTGTCTCTCTGTCAAAAATAAATAAATATTTTTTAAAAAAGAAGTCAAAAAAGAGTGCTGGGAATAGTTAATAATATCTAGCATAAGCACAGGGAGTAATACTATATATGTGTATATGTATGCATAAATTACATTTTATGCTTATGTATATGTGTGTGATAGCGATAAATATATGCCATCCTATTCTATGTTTGCATTCACATAATTTTATACAACTTACTTTATAATTTGTTCATATATAAACTCTGGAAAACTAAAGGCATTTTTTATTTCTGATTTTAAGTTCTTATTTTCTTAATCAACCTTACCAGAGGTTTGTCTATTTTATTCATATTTTCAAAGAACCAACCAAAAAAGCGTATCTTTGGAAATTTAAAGCACACATTTAAATAATTCACGGGTCTGGGGCACCTGGGTGGCTCAGTTGGTTAAGTGTCCGGCTTCAGCTCAGGTCATGATCATGGTTCTTGGGTTCGAGCCCCACATCAGGCTCTGTGCTGACAGCTCAGAGCCTGGAGCCTGCTTCGGATTCTGTGTTTCCCTCCCTCTCTGCCCCTCTCCCACTCACATACACACACTCTCTCTCTCGCTCGCTCAAAAAAATTAAAAAATCTAAAAATTAATAAATAATTCATGGGTTAATGATGAAATCACATTGGAAATTAGAAAATACTTGGAACTAAATAACAAAAATACAAATTTGTGGGATGCAGCTAAAAAAAGTGATTAAAGGGATACTGTAGTTCAAAATTAAGTCATCAAGCATTCAACTGAAAAAATTAGAAAAAGAGCAAATGAGTAAGCCCCAAGAAAGCAGAAGGAAAGACACAAATTAGTGGGAAAAAAATAACAAAGAAACCATCAGCAAAAAGTACCAAACGTTCATTCTTTCAAAGTATAAATAAGAAAAATCTTTGACAAAATTGAAGGAGGGGGGTGGAGATCAATATCAGAAATGAAATTGAACAACTTAATGACACATAGTCAGAACTTTTTAAAAACTGTAAGTGAATATTATGAACCTTGGACAAAATAGACAGTTTTCTAAAAATTGTAACTTACTAATAAGCCTGACCTCGGTAAGAAATAGTAAACTAACGGGGGGCCGGGAACTACTAAAGACATTGAACGAGTAGCTTAAAATGTAACTGTGAAACAGTTGTTGGCTCTTATAGTTTAATCACCTTCCCTCTTGGGATAGGGAATGTTGAAGTGTCCTCTTATGTTTCAGAGCAGTTGGCGAGGTTCCAAGTATCCCCACCCCGCTAAGGGGGCTGAACTTCAGAGGCACAATCAAAATGACTCATAGGAGTTGAAACTGCTCAGCGACAGGCCAACCCTTTAGGTCAATATATGTACTGAGGACATTAAGAAGGTCTTAAACAAGGGAATGTTGCCTGTCCTCAACAGTTAGCTGGCAGGAAACACACGGTTGGTTTTCACAAGTTCTGAAACACTAGACAAAACTAGCTGGTGTAACAAAGCAGCTTCTGAGTGTCACAAAGTGTGAGCCTTTTTTACAGAACCTGGAGCCCACGTAAGTCTGAGAACTTGAAAAACAAACAACAACAAAAACCCGAAAGAAACAAAAAACTTAATGAGAGCTAAAAAAAAAAAAAAAAAATTGTTTATGATTAAATTTTGCAAAAAGGCAGGTGAAAGAGCCGGGATGCATTCACACAAAAGTACTGCGGTACAGACGTTTTAAATCGTTAGAGCGGGCTACAGTGTTCGCTGCGCTAACTTCCTTTGGAAAAATACCAGGAGGCTTTCAGGTGACGAGCACCGGTCCCGGGGGACCCTGGCCCCGCGCCCCATTCCCGAGCTTCGGCACCCGATCGCCGGCTGGAAGCCGCACAGTTCCGCCTTCCTTGCAGCCCGCACCCAGAATCTCCGCAGCCCTCCCGGCCCTCCCGCTGCGCCCAGCAGCCACCCACCTCCTCGCCATCCTGGCCCAGGGCGACGCCCAGGCCCTTGAGCCCCTCCTGCAGCTCGCCGATGTCCACCACGCCGTCCCCGTTGCGATCCAGCTTCTGGAAGAGGGTCTCGAAGCGCGTCGGCGGCGCCGCGTCCTGGCAGGCCGCCGCGGGCAGCACGAAGCCCCGCAGCCAACGCAGCATGGTCCCGGAGGCGCGGGGCGGCGCAGCCCAGGGGAGTCACCGGGGCGAGGACTCGGGGGGTGGCGGGTGCAACGAGGACCAGCGTCCCGGCCGCCGCCTGGCTGCGAGGAGACAGCCGGGTGCAGGGCGCAGGAGCAAAGACCCCAACCCAGCCCGGCTTGTCGCGCAGGGAGTGGCCGCGCCAGCTGCTGCTCGGGGAGGAGCTCGCCCGGCGCTGGCCTCCCTTAGAGGCGTGGAGGGGCGGGCCTAGCGCTGCCTAGAGCGGAGCAGGAAGTGAAAGGGCTGCCGTGGATCTCCGGAGGGGCGGTGGCAACGCGGCTGGGGAAGGAGCGGGGGGGGTGCGGGGAGGAGGAGGTCTGCTCGCGCCCAGTGGAGCTGTCAGAGGTGTAAGTTCGAGGAGCAAGCCCCCAGAGGCTGGGGGTTTTAGCATCCGCAGGTTAAGTGCTGGGGCGGGGGGGAGAGGACGTTCGAAGCTCAGGTTAACTTCACGCCCCCCTTTCCCTAACAGCTTGGAGTTTCAGCAAGCTGCCCGGAGGTAGTCCTCTCTGCATGGAAAGTGAGCCATGTCGGTCGGCCCAGATATCTGACTTTTTCGTGTGGCTCCACAGATACTACACTTCCAGGCCTGTTTTCCATTAACAAAAAGGAGGAAGTTGGGTGTTTGCACACCTGGGATGGGAATTCTTTAAGAAACAGAGAAGTTAAGGGGGCGCCTGAGTGGCACAGTACTTTCAGCGCCCCACTGTTGAGTTTGGCTGAGGTCAGGATCAGACGGGTTCATGGGATGGAGCCCCTGCGATGGGCTCTGCGACAACAGCACGGAGCCTGCTTCGGATCCTCTGTCTCCTGTCTCCCTCCCTCTCTGCCCCTCCCCCACTCGCTCTCTCTTCAAAATAAACATTAAAAATTTATTTAAAAGAAGAAACAAGTTAAAGCTGAAAGCAATTTAAAAAACAAAAAACACCTAAAACTAATACAGTATTACATGTCAATTATGTCTCAACACAACTGGGGGTAAAAAAAAAAAAAAAAAAAAGGAGAAACTGAAGGGTCTTTGGCAGAAAAGATCTACGTTCATCCAGGTGGGCAGTGGTAAAAAGAGGGACTACTTTGCTCTACAGCTTAGTAAGATCTGACCCTGACAAATCATAGGGAGCATTTGCCAGCAGCACTTACCAGGAGGACCTCAGGCCCCTCTCTTTCAAGAGGGGTACAGCTACATGGCTTAGGACTTCCTTCATAACATGGAATAAGACAAGGAACACCGGGGATAGAGAGAAAGTGGCAGGGTCCTAATTCTTCTGCTGTGCAAACTTGGAAATGTGGCATAGCTTCTCTATCAGCCTCTCATCAGTAACATAAGAGTATGAATATCTGCCTCATAACAACAGGGTTTTACATTGTGTGGGAAAGGTCTTAATACTCTCAAGTGCCAATAAAATGAGATTCACCAATTGTAATAATTCCCTGTTCATCCACCAGCCGCTTAATAGAAACTGTTGTTGCATTCCTCTTATCTGCAGGAGCTATAACTCTGTACTTATAAGGCTTTCCCCACATCCTCTGAATAACTAAACAAGGCTAGTTCTTCCAACAAAACCCAGGAACTCAGACCCAGAAATCACTTCCCCTCGTGCCAGTTTATATATTGAAGGCACAGGCGAATCTAGAGTTTGTAAACTGAGGACTGCCTGTTTAGTTACATCATTGTGAGACCAATCTCTTCATACTACTTCTGAATTCCAATCTTGTTATCAATTATCCTCTTCCTTTGGAAATGCCTTCTAACCACATCAAATTTTCTATCTGTCCTTAAAAACCTCTTTTAACCACCACTGTGGATACTCTGTACTCGAAGAGAGGCTGCTTGAAATAGTCCTCCCAGACTTAAATGGTTTTTTTCTTTTTTCTTTTTTTGTAGTAACTAGAGGAATTAACTGTCAAAACTTTGAGAAAATTTATTTTAAACACAAAGCCTTGTATAAGAAAGTTTACAGCAGTTTTATTCATCATCATCCAAACCCAAGACAAGCAAAGTGTCCTTAAATGAGTGAATGGATGAGCAATCTGTGTTGCATTCATACAGTGGAACACAGTGATAACAAGGAGTGTCTCACTACACCATACAACACGCTATATGGCATTCTGGAAAAGGCAAAACTATAGGGACAGAAAACAGACCAGGGGTTGCCAGGGGCTGGGGGGTGGGAGGTGTTGACTATGTAACAGCATAAGGGAGCTTTTGGGGGTAATGGAGTTGCTTAGGTTTTGATTCTGGTGGTGGTTACACAAGTGTCACTTTGTTAAAATGCACAGCAGTGTATACTAAAAAGGTTTACTTTCACTCTGTGGAAATTATACCTCATTAAATCTGACTTTAATATCTGACTTAAACATAAGTAAAACAGAATAAGAATTCTTAGTTCAAAATATCACTGTGAAAATCAAAACAGTTTGTGACTTATTACACAAAAGTATGGTTGCAGACCAGCAGCATCAGTATCACTCGGGAGCTTATTAGGAAATACAGTCTCAGGACCAGCTCAGAGTTGCACTTATGCAAAAGCCCCAGTGATCCTTTCCTACATCAAAGTTTGAGAAGCTTTGCTGGTATAAAGTAATGCCACTCAAAGTGCGGTTTGCACACTAGTGCCAGACTACAAGCTCTTCCCTGTTCGCAACAAGTTGAGTCAGAGATTAAGAGGAAGCATCCAGAAACATTATAGCAATTTTGATAGAGTACTTTTATATTTGTTGAGTCTAATAATGACTCCTGTATTGTCTTTTTAATTTTAATTCTCTAACAAATCATTTTTACTGTATTTCACAATGGTTTATGTATCCACAATGGACTAAGAAAACACTGTTGGGGCGCCTGGGTGGCTCAGTCAGTCAAGCGTCCGACATCAGCTCAGGTCATGATCTCACGGTTCATGAGTTCCAGCCCCGAGTGGGGCTCTGTGCTGACAGCTGGGAGCCTGGAGCCTGTTTCAGATTCTGTTTCTGTCTCTCTTCCTCTCCCCTATTCGCTCTCTGTCTCTCTGTCTCTCTTTCTCAAATACAAAAAATAAAACATAAAAAAATTTTTTTTAAGAAAACACTGTTACTTGGGGAACCTGGGTGGCTTAGTTGGTTGAGCGTCCAGCTTCACCTCAGATAATGATCTCATGGTTCGTGAGTTCAAGACCCACGTCAGGCTCTGTGCTGACAGCTCAGAACTGGAGCCTGCTTCAGATTCTGTGTCTCCCTGTCTCTCTGCTCCCCGCCCCCACCCCTGCCAATTGCACTCTGTCTCTCTCGAAAGAAAGAAAAAAAGAAAGAAAGAAAGAAAGAAAGAAAGAAAGAAAGAAAGAAAGAAAGAAAGAAAACACTGTTACCATACAGAATAAAGGTAAAATTAACAATACAACTTCCTTCATGAGAGAATAAAATTTTACATAGACATTTAAACACACGCACGAGAGACAGCATCCCTACCCATTCCTATGTTGATAATTCCCAAAGACCAGTAGCTCCGACAGAGATCAACAGGAGAAACCCTGAACTCAGATGTCCTTAACCCAATTCATTTCTGTGGTCAGGACAGAAGTTGAGGGTTCAGCCCAATTCAGCTTGCCTCTGTATTTTTCCAGTTTCTAGCTTTCTTAAGCACTACCATCTTCCATTGGGACAACCTTCAAACTTTATAAATTTCATCTATTTTGGTCTTCAAAGACCTTTTTCAGCACCTACCTTGAAATCCTTGTAGTTAGGAAGAATCCCCTTGAATGATCATTCTAGATGTTCATAGTTTTCTTTTTTTTTCTTTTTTTTTTTCTCTTTTCAACGTTTTTATTTATTTTTGGGACAGAGAGAGACAGAGCATGAACGGGCGAGGGGCAGAGAGAGAGGGAGACACAGAATCGGAAACAGGCTCCAGGCTCTGAGCCATCAGCCCAGAGCCTGACGCGGGGCTCGAGCTCACGGACCGCGAGATCGTGACCTGGCTGAAGTCGGACGCTTAACCTACTGCGCCACCCAGGCGCCCCATAGATGTTCATAGTTTTAGCTGGTAAACAAGTTTACCCTTTTTACCTACTGGACCATGCAGTTACTGTGGGTGCTAAGAAAACCAAAGTCTCAGCCTCTCTACAAGGAATAACTCTATGTCAAAATTCTGTTCACTGCTGTCTCAAATTTAAGGAATTACAAAGTGAGCTATGTAAGAGAATTCAATTGGTTCAGGGTAAAGCCATCACCATCACCAGAAAGCTAGTTTTATCATATGTATTTTAACCTTGAATATCCAGGTAGTCTTTAGAGAGACAAGAATCGTTTTAAGTTTTAACTCTATCTAAGCTAAGTGAATATTCCCTTGAGATTTTCCAAGTCATGTAGGAGACAGAAATCCAGATAACCAGGAGAATTCTGTGTCTTGCTCACTACTCCTCATCATCCGCTACCCCAACCCACCCAAAAAAGTAAACGCAGACATGGTGCTTAATTACTGGAAGTTTGACATCATTACTAAATCATGTAAATACTTCCCATTTCAAAACAGTTGTGTCAAGTTCACACTGGCTTCAAAACCACATCCCTCACTACTTTGAAAATAACTATGTAAAAGACTGTGTTAAGAATGTCTTCAGTTTGCGAAAATTTATGTAAATTTTGTTCTGAAGGCTGATACATTTAAAATGAAAAAAAAAGCACATCTATTAAGGAATCAATAATCATGAAAATTAGATCAATATTCTATATATTTTTGCTTGTAAAGCCACCATCTCTCTCCCCTCCTTCCCTTCCATCCTGTCTTCCTCCCTCCCTCCCTCCCTCCCTTCCTTCATCACCAGTTAAACGTCATTGGGCAGGCTTGAGGAAAGCTGCCCAGAACGGGTCAGAGCTCAGGGAAAGAAGATGGGCAGAGCAGCAGCCTCCTGGGTTGGGAGGCTGGTTACATATACGGGGCTTGAGCAACTAAATAAATATATTGAGGATAGTAAGAGCTAGGCTTCCTGCTGTCAGAGAAAGGAGTTAGAAACATGCAAAAGAGAAAGCTAGAATGAACCCTACAGCGTCCTTAACCCAAGGACGCATTTGAATTAGTGGTATTGGTGCGAACGCACGGTTTTAAATATTCTTGGATACAGAAATATAAAGAGGTCTTTGTTCTCATAGGGCATACAGTTCAGTCAGAGGAAACAGGAAGTAATCATACCTCTGGGGTTCTGCAGCTAGAAGAAGTTTGGGTTGTATAAATAACAATAAAATTAAGAATCTATAAAAACAATTTAAAAAATT